AAGCATATAATCAGAATAACCTGCACAAAAAGAAAAAAAACAACCCCATGTCTCGGGGCAAACCCCATGAATTCCAGACAAAATAACAATAGAAGTCACCAAGTCTCAAGGGTAGTCAAGGCTTCTAATCCTAAGTCCAAGAGGTCCATAACTCCATCATGCCAAGGATAGTAACCAAATAGTCCAAGTAACCTTAAAGTTTTTATTTTTTAAGTTGGTTATTAAGTATCTTCAAAAAGAAAAATGAAAGCTCAAGTGAGAAAAATAAAAATGACATAATGATAAATGCTCAAGTGAGCAAAGATGAAAATGGCATGAAATGTAAATGCTAAAGTAAATGGAGTATAAAATAAAGACACAAAGTAAAAGCATAAGATAAAGTCAATTGTTAGTGAGTTAGAAATTAGAGGTTAGTTAAATGACCATCTTGAGACTTGTATATGAAAACTCATTAGAAGATTGATAAAATCAAAGCTTCTTAACAATAAGTTTCATTTTCTTTTTGTCAAGTATATCAATCATTTTAAAATTCTCGAGGAAACAACAAATGATCAACGATGTTTAAATGATTCACTTAGACCAAAATTTATGATGGTTCATTAGAGGATTGATAAGACCAAAGCCTCCTAACAATGAACCTCGAGGGTATTGGATCAAAGGTTTCAAATTAAATATACTTGGGCTTGCAAACATAGGTTTGGGCCATGAATGATCATTTCTCGAATCGGTACAAAATTTAGCGCTATATTAAGCAATCGTAAGTGGACTTATATAGAAGTCGCACCTATTTTAAGGCCGATCAATAGCAATCTATGTACCATATGTTTGGAGAAACGATATGCAGATCATCCTCTAACAACATGTATTACAAGTGAGAAGGGGATAAGATGAAGATGGGAGGGTAAATATTTGAATCAAAATTTTAATCAAACTATCATTAAAATCATTCATCCATTTTGGTGGAATTAAACTCATCACCCAAGATCCAATGATGTTAATAAAGCTCGTGATCAAAAATCACATAGTTCAAGCTCAGCCAGAATATATTCAAAAATAAAATTGCATTTAATAAACAAAATAAAAAGAAAATGATTTTAAAATTATTTTTAAGTGAAAATAAAAGACAAAATAACAAACTATGTTCAAAGTATCAAATAAAAATTTAAAGAAAACATAGAAAAGTCGGAGATGATCTCAAGTATTTTTACAAATTTTTTAACAATTTTTTAAAACAGGAAAATATTTTTAAATTATTTAAAATCATTCAAGTAAGTGAAAAAAGATCAAAAATAGTAAAACTTAAAATAAAATTTTAGAAAGTCAGAAATAAAGAAAATGATCTTGATGAATTTTTTTAGAATTTAAAAATACCAAGTATTTTTAAACAATTAAAAACAAGTCAAAACAAACAAAAAATCATAAACAATATGAAATCTGAAAATAAAATCATGAAAAAATAAAATCACAAAGGGAATATTTAAAAATATTTTTGTGAATTTTTTCATAATTTTTAGGTCAGAAATGAATTTTCTATGTCTTTTTGAAGTTTAAAACAATTAAATATAAAAAATCAGAAATTAAAATAAAGTCAAAAAGTATGGATCATTATATAAGAGTCAAAACACGTAAGTAAATAGATCCAATGGATCAGGCGCACTGTGCATATCATGGTCTTTTTGGAAATCACACCAACTCCTTTTTTAATAATCAAAAGCAAAAAAAAAAATTTATCGCATTGGATAGAGTCTGACTAATGAAAGTAATCAGATCCAATGGTCCTCAAAACACGCGTATAGTAAAACAAATGCACTGGATATGACTCAAAAAATCACATGTCACGCTATCATTGGTTGAAGCACTACACGTAGGTCGTCTTCAACCTCCAGATGCCCTAAATTGAGGTTTCACAAACTGTAAAATTAGGGAACTAGACTGGTACCATTAGATTCATCTCTTCAAGATGATTCTAATGGTACCCTCGCGCCAAATTAATATAAGCTGAGCAAGGCTGGATTTGAAGAAAAGCATAAAAAATTGCGAGCACGAAAATTCCAAGTATCTCTCTCAATTCTCAATGAAAATGAAAACCGTAAGAAGTGTGAGAATTAGATGAATGAGTAGAATAGAATAGGGATTTATTTGGTTCAATTTGGTTGAGAATTCTACCTGAACGAAGTAGTATAAAATTTATCTGAAACTGGACTTGGTTAGCACGATTTATGACACTTCAAGGCTTGGTTCTTCTTCTGTTAGCTTCAGTGATGTTCAAGGATAAAGAATCAACAAAGAAATTGGATTGGAAATTGGAGAAAAGATGAATTCGAAAACTCAGAAAAGTGGGTTATGCAGAGAGTTTGGCAGGGTGATTTTAGTTGTCCAAGCTTGAGGAAATGAATGCAATACATCCCTCTATTCAAAGAAGAGTGAATGGTGAAAAAATTGGAATCAATATTGAGGTTTGGAGGGAAAACAAAGGAAGCCTGAAAGTGAGAAAAGTGTGACTTGAATTTGCTCAAAACTCAGCTACCTCTTGTGTTTTGATCCTTAATTCAACTTTGGGAACTTGGTTAAACATGTTTAAATCAAAAACGCGTGCTAATTTGGTGTTTAGAAGCTGACACAATTAGTAGGCTAGGGACAGTAAGCAAAATAAACACAAATGTTAATAGAAAACTTAAAATGACAAATTAGCGTAATGTTTTTAAACAACTAACGCCAATCCCTGAAAGCAACACCATTTTGTTGTAGCTCGAAAGAAAGTTTGGAAATCATCATATCCAAGTGATTGGATATGTTTTAAAGACCCTTCAATAGTTTATATGATTCTAGGAAAATGGATGTTTTGAGTTATTTTGTTTGTAAAAATGAAATGATAGAAAATAAATTGAGATTACGGTGTTAACAGTGAGAAAACTTGTTTGGGTTAGATTTCATCATCTTTATCCTCATGTATAACTATTTGTCAATAATATGCTCTTCTACTCATCTATCAATATTCCCCATGTTTCTTTCATCGCAACTCATCTCAGAGACAATAAAATGAGATTAATTGTATTACCTAATTGATGATCTCTCTCCCTATTAACCAATACAATATCATTAAGTTTCAACAATGAATGAAGATAATAATATTCCCTTTCACTGATATCTTTATTCATCTAGATATTAAATTTAACTCTATCTCTAGACATTAGCATTCAAAAGATGGAGACTTGGATCTAGTAATGACCAGCACCTCTCGTATGCCAAGTCATACCATAAAAATATGTTTTAGGCAGCTAATCTTGAGAATGGAGAATCAACAATATTAAAGCTTAAGTAGAAATACATAAAACACCTTGAGCATAATTGATCCACAAGAATAATAATGAATACACATAACCCTAAGAAAAGAGAATTAGCTGCATTTACTCATCATAACATTATAGTTAAACCCTGGAATAAAGAGGTTCATCAACATATGTTGTTATTCCCCAAACAGCGCTTCCGCCTTTAATATTTCTATCTTATTCTCACTGTTGACATTTAAGATGAACCTACTATCTTTTTGTACTACCTTGAATCCAACGAAACTCCCTTTAAATTCAAATTGAACCCTTACTTATAAGTATTGGTCAGAGGTATACGCTAGGCGCATCGCCCATATGCACTTAGCACACCTACTTTCTTCTTTGCTAAGCAATGCTAGCTCACCTTCTACTTTCCTAGCTGCTCTATCTCGCTAGGCACACCTCTCATCCTTAACTAGCACAAAAAACCATTTATTTACCTTGAAGTAACTAATCTTTGAAGTCATGAACCAGCTTGCTAAGACCACTTGGTATCCTGTGCTTTCTAAGTGTGCCTATGATCTTGGCATAGCGAGTCTTTTTTGTAGGGAAGTCTCTTGGCAAGGTCGTTGTGTGTGTTGTCTGGTGGTTGATCATTCCTTTTTACCGATTTTTGGTTAATGTGAAGTTAAAAAGTCTAAACATGTGATTTATCATATTTCATTGATGAATTGGTCACTTTTCTATTGATTAATTATAAAATAAGTTGATAAGTGCCTACGCATTTTACGTAACTTTGGCACTTATCACATATCAACTACTCTTTCACCACATTGGAAGTTCAAGTTCACTGTTGCGATCTGCATCTATCGTTCAACAATCAATTTTAGTTCCCACACATAACAGTTATAACCAATAACAATAACAATTGAATATACAAAAGATGGGGGATCTCGAATATATTCATTCACCGCATTATTATAATAGCCAAATAAGTTACATTGTTGTTTAGTTGTTTGTGAACTATTATTAATTAAGTTTAGAGATGTAATTAAATGGATATATATATATATATATATATATATATATATATATATATATATATATATATATATATATATATATATATATATATATATATATATATATATATATATATATATATATATATATATATATATATATATATATATATATATATATATATATATATATATATATATATATATATATATATATATATATATATATATATATATATATATATATATATATATATATATATATATATATATATATATATGAGTTTATTCATCAAACTCTTAAAATCATGGCATATTATTATTTGGAATAAAGAAAAAATTATTCTGAACTATGATTATTATATTTTTTTATAAAAAAACTTGTGATTTAATTAAAGATATTATCAAACATATAAGTCACTTGTCATAGTGCAAAAAAAATTCTTACATTGGTTGACAAATATGTCGTAATATAACCCTTCAATGGTTCAATAGGTGTGATGATCCATCATTATTATAATCAACCAGCCAAACATTATATTTAATTTATTTTTTATTGTACATTTTATAATATGTTTCTTTATTATATAATAAAACTTTATCTAATTAAGCTCCTTTTATTCTTTTTACATTTATCTTGTCCCTTGAGGATTATAAATAGATTCTAATTGTATTCTTATTTCCCAAAAGACCTTGAGTTGTAGAAAAGATGAACATCAAGTCTTTTATTTCCTTGTTCTCCTATGCAATTCTTATCATCTCTATTGTGGCAATTGAGCCTTATGAAGATGAGAAAAAATGTATGCATATTTATATTAGTCATGTATGCACTTTTTTTTTATATTTAATAACATGTTTTTATTTATTTGTAGATGGTGAAATAAAGAAATCAGAGAGAAACATTGAACAAAGTGACAGTGGATACAAACATAGTGTTGCTTGTAGTGATGGAATTGTCATAGACAATGGTGAAAACAACCCACTATTTCCCAACTGTGAAAAAGAGGGTGGAATGGGACACGAGGGAGGAAGTGGAAAGGGGGGTTGTGCTGGAGGGGAGGGTGGTGGTGGAAAAGAAGGAGGCAAAGAAAAAGGGGGTTGCGGTGGTGGACCCCCTGACATAACTTTTCCTGGTAGTGCAAATGGGGGCGGCAGTGGAAACGTCATTTCTATTCACAACATCAGAAAGATGGGCAGTAATTGGGGACATAAGTGATACGTAGAGAAAGTCTTCATGAAAAACTAAATGCATATACATGTATGATGTATACACAACAACACAATATAAAATGTAATAAATCTAAATAAGTCATGGACCATGTAGTTATTGAATAAATTAACAATAATAATATTTATGGAAAATTATTGAATTCGTTTCCGACTTTATAGTAAGCTCTCAAATAGATACATGGGATTATAATATTCTTTATAATGGACCATGTAGTTATTGATGAATCATTAATCAAATTATTCATGTTATATACACCATCCATAGTTTATGTAATACTCTAAATTTAAAAAGAATGAATTTTTGCTTATATTATTGATCAAAGGGTATAAATTATTTCTCAACAAATCAATTCCATCTAGAAAAAGAGATTTTAATATTGGCCAAAAATGGGTGATACAACCCTAAAACCTTACGCTAACCAAGATTTAGTGTCGACTAAGCATCGTTGTTGGGTTGGGGCCGAGTTAAAAACCTTTGAACTTATACTAGCGTCAGTTGGAAACTAGTTGAGTCTAATGTAGCTTAGGTCATGTCGAGTCAAATCAAACACTGTGAACTAGTTGACACTACTTTATTCAACTTGTAAAAAGTCAACAAAAGAATGTAAACTCAACTTATCCAATGCTATAGTCAACTTTTAAAATATCAACAAAGGAAATTAGACTCGAATGCGCCGAAAATGTAGGAAACCTTTAAAAAAGAACAACAAAAGAATGTAGGATCGTCCTGGGAGACGCTTCTTATAAAAAAAATTATGCTAAATTCACAAAAATCACTTAGCTTTATATTATAAAATTATTTTTCACCTATTAATAAATTTTTAGAATATACTAAATAAGATGAAAGTTTTATGGAGGAAAAAGCTAATAGCTTCCTAAAAATGGGTTAAGACAAGGGGACCCAATCTACCCTTACCTCTTTGTCTCGCGCATGGATAAGCACTCGTACATGATAAGTGAAGTTGTAGGATAAGGAAAATAGGAAGGAAAGAAATATGGGAGAAGAGGACCTATAATTTCTCACTTGGTGTTTGCAAATAAATTACTTTTATTTGGTTAGCTACATGAAACTAGGCGAAGTTTATTATGGAAATTCTGCATTGTGATATTTTTGGATGGATTAAATAATGATAAGTCAAACATCATGTTTTCCAAGAACATCATTGTTCATGTCAGAAGACAACTTGTTTAGTTATCAGGCACTACTATGGAAAACACAAACAACGACAGTTGTGAAACACATACAATGGCGTTAATATGTCTGTTGTTAGGTAGTGCGTGGCTGTTGTTATAAATTAGATAGCGTGCTACATATAACTACGGTTTATGGAAACAACCATTGTGAAATAATTGAAAGGTCCTAGGTCTCGACTCATACAACGTCATTTTTGTGTTTCATTATTCTACATATAATAACGGTTGAATTAAAAACTATTGTGATATTATTTATGAATAATTCTCAATTGTATCCAACTAGAATCAGCAATACACCCATTTGTGAATTGAATATCAAAACTAGTATTACATCAATGATGATACAATTCAAATTATACGTAAGAAAGAGTGGAAGGAATATCAAATAAGGGAAAAAAGAAATTTGAAAAGACAATGATATGTTTTGTACCCCAAAATTTTCCCTCCCATTTTTCTTCAAGTTATCTCCTCATACTCATATGGTTCGCAATTGCTCAAAGATTGATCAGAAAAAATTTTCTCCTAAGCAATGAACCTACAACTAGGGTTTCAATTTTCTCAAGGAATATTGGGTTTCTAAGGTCTCAATGGATTTCATGGTTTCTTATATGTATCCAAGAATGATTATACCAAGTTTCAAGCCTTTCATCACAAGTTTGCTCAAGGCAATTGCTCATATGACTGAAAATCAACTGTATTGGACAAAAAGTAAATTATGGTCAACATATAGTCAAACTTCAAATTTTTTGGTCAAAATCAAGATTTTGAAGTCATATTCATCATTTTATCAAGGGTTGATCATGATTCATCAAGAAAACTCTCAAACCATCAAAAGTCAAAAGTTGCCAAATTAGGATTTTCTTAGGGAGAAGTCAACTTAACTTTGACAAAGCATAACTTTCACATGCTTCATCATATTTTTCTCAACCAAATCTCATTTTAAAGGAAATTAAATTCTCTACAACTTTGTCTCTCTAAGATCAATTCCAAAAATGCTTCATTTGAGAGATATGGGCCAATACATTATAGGTCATTTCAAAAGTCAACAAAAAGACACTTTTTGTCAAGGAAAATTACATCAAGATAAAATCTTCAAATGCAAAAATGATCAAAATATATAATGTGGATGGCATATTAGGATTTCCAAAAAGTCCCAGATCACCTTCAAATGATAAAAATTGATAGAGTTATGATGGGTGCAAGTTGGGAAAGTTTAAGCAAATGCGTGAAACCTAAAGTGACCAAACTTGAATTTTTGGGATAATGTGATATTGTTTCAAGGTCCATGTGTGTTATATACTTCATAGTGAACCTCAGATATTATTCATACACCACTTGGGTTTTTATTTTATTTATTTTGATTTTTCTTAATTTAAATTCAAAATTAAATAAGATAAAAGTCAAGGCTTTTCTTACAAGGTCCAAGCCCAACATGTTTGACCTAATTCTCCATTATATATTGTTCTTCATTCAGACAAGCAGGAAATGAACCCTTACAGCAAGAAAAATCTTCCAGAACTCTAAAAATATCAAAAACTAGGGCGAAGTGAAACCTATTTTGCAACCACTTTCAATGCTTATCAACCCTTCCAATCGATCTCTGAGGTGGTATAGGGTAAGAATGGAGCAAACTTAATGATCCAAAGCACACGAAAATGACATCTCATGCATCTCCGATTACCATTAACTTGTGAATTCATATTTTTTATTTTCTCCATGATTTAATGAAAACTAACACCACTAAAATGTTTATGAGATATCCATGTGCAAGACGATACCATTGCATGATCCCCATAATGGCTTAATCATGAACTGCCATGCTTGGTCTGGTTCATATTTTTTTTGTCATATCTCACAAACCAGTATGATTTGGCCAAAAATAATAATTCCATTGAAATCTCAAGGCTTGAATTAGGGGGGTATGGTCCTTTGGAACCTCTAATGTTTGTTGTTTTGAAGGATTGAAAAATGTACTCACCGAAGAAGACGACCGGAGCTAGGGCTCCGGCGCCTCTCCGGTCAATGTCATAATGTTTATTATATAATTATTTTGTTTCATTTATACTACCGAATGTACAGCCGGCTCAGTGGCAAGCAAGCTCATGATAAGGCAATTATACAATAAGGCGTGGATTTGATACCTGGTTTTGGCATTTTGTTTTTCATGTTTTTTCCTTCCTGGTTGATTATATTTTGAATAATGACGCCTTACTAGCACCAACCAGCGCTTGGCCTGGTGGCTAGCTATAATACTGAGGAATCAAAGGGCATGCGTTCAACACCCACCCCTGACATTTGCCATGATTTTTCTATTTTCTAATCCTTTTCTTTGGTTTTTTCTTCTCTTATGCATTTTTGGCAAACTTAAACCCTAAATTCACTTAACCACAAAACCTCTTTACAAATCCTAATTAGGTTTTAGTTTCTTTTAATTTACCTTTCTTAGTTAACTTTTTTTCTTGAATAAAATTAATTAATTTTTAGGTTTTTTATCATTAACCTTTTTTTATTAATTTAATTAATCAAATATTTTTGTTAATTAAAATTAATTAGTTTTTAGGTTTATTTTAGAAAACCTTCTATATAAAAAACATTGAAACCAATTCTTTTTCCTTTGGTTCTATTTTCATTTTACATTTTTAGATCAAATGTATAGGCTTCGTGAATGTAATTGTTTCTCGCTTTTTTCCATTATTATGTATCTGCCTCCCGGGATGTAATAGTTAGGGTTTTTCATTCTCCGCAATTTATATTATGTAATTGCCCCAAAGCCGTGTAATAGGTTTAGATTTATCTTTTCTGCTTTTACTTTTTGTACCTTACTTTTTATACTTGTTATATTATTTCTTAGTAATTAGGGTTTGTATGGAAAGACTAAAAACAAACGTTAGCAAAGCCCTAAATTCAAGACTAAATAACTGAATACAAGACACTTGCGCACTTGCACCTCTAGGGTAACCTCCCTTGTTGCCTTCGGAAAATAATGGTCATGTCCCTCGAACGTGGGGACGCTTTAGCAAAGACCCTCGAATTAAAAATCATAGTCTCTCAATGAGCCTTCGACGTTGCCCTTCGATAAATGATCTAGTCCCTTACGAAAATTTCTTAAGCGTCCTTACGAGTTGCCTTCGATGATCGTACGATGACCCTCGCATGTCCCTTCACATCCAACGATAGAGATTCCTACTAACTAATGGTATGGATAGCAATATCTGAAGGAGGAGGAAAAGTACAAGAACGACCTTGAGTGGGTAGAACTCTTAATCGCTTGGTCTTAAAAACAAAACATTTCACAAACACTCTTCAAAATATTTTCAAACTCTTTGTATACACTCTTACCGATACGAGAGTCATTACAAAGTTCGCCTTACATTGGCGTTTTCTAAATATTTTCAACCATACAACACATAGAAAATTTCGAAAGTGAGCTAAGCGATTAAGAGCCCATAGATAACTACGGATGAAAAGGGTGCTAACACCTTCCTTTTTCATAACCTACCCCCTGAACTCAAAAATATATTAAGGATTTCCTATTATTTTCACCCTTTCCTTACTGGATAAAAGAAAAGTCGATGGCGACTCTTGCTATCTAAAACATATGCGATCAAATGCAAAACCAAGTCAATTTTCCCACCATATGACAGAACTGGCGAATATACTGGGTAATTATAATTAAAGAGTGGTTACCTTAGAGTTTAGGATCACTTTACTTGCTTTATTTTGTTTGCTTTGTTTGCTTTATATTTGAGGGTTGCTCGGGTTTATTTTCTTGCAAAGATCCTACACCCAGAT